AAAGAGATCTGGATGATGGTTTCATCCACAGAAAACAATTTAGACCACCAGAGCTGCAAGGGGTCTTATTATGCAGCTTTCCCAAGAAATAATTAAAATAAAGTCCACTGTGTGGCCTTGCCACTGACTTAATGAAAAAGGGTATAGGCAACCCCTGGCACACAAAAGGATGCACACCTGCGTGGGGACAACACCAGCCTGTGAAGAGGTTAGACATGGCTCATGAAAGTCCAACCTGGATGGGGGGGTGGAAATCAGTGGCATGCAGCTGTGCCATGATGCAGCACCCCCACTCCACAGCCCTTTTTGCTGTTCTCTCCCACATGCACTTACCCTTGGTGCGGAATTCACCCGGTCCCATTGCCACTGAGGACAGGGTTTTGTGGCAAGGATAAGCAAAGTTGGCTTGGGTCCTCTGGAGAGAAAAGAGATTTGCAGCACAGCCCAGGTCAAGCAGCAGCCTGCAGTGCCAACCCTGAGCATGGCGAACATGCCAAGAACAGTTCAGTATAGACATGGATGGTATGATCTGCTCTACGTCAGTAGGGAGACAATTTTTTTTTTTTGACAGGCATGCCACAAATTGGTTCCACATGCTTTAAGTGCTATTATGACCCCCTTCCCCTGTCTGATCTGCTGCTGCAGTTTCTGCTCCCTAACCAAATCTGCTGCTTTGGCTTCTGCTTCTTGCCCTATGCTCCCTGACTAATCTGCTGCTATCTGCCACTGTGCTGCCTCTCCCCTCCCTGATCTGCTGCTACACAGGGAAGTTGTCCATGCCACATGTGTTGCAGGTTGGCCAGCCCCGACTCCTACCCTATGTGATATTTGACATGAAGAGTATTCAGATTTAGAAAGTCCCAGTCTCTTCTTTGCACCAGGACAACAAGGGCTAACCTTTTTTGGCGAGTGAGCCATGAATGAAGCTCTAGGCCATCCCTGAGTGCCACTCTGAACCCTTCCCCTGTCTGATCTGTTGCTCTGCTTTCTGTTCCCAACCCAATCTGCTGCTACAGAGGCTGTCCGTGTCATTTGTGGAACATGTGCTGCAGACTGTCCACCCCTTCACTAGGAGGTATCCCCAAAAGAAGCTGCTTGCCCCAGAGAAACTCTTGCTGCCCTTAGAAGCTCCTGAGAAAAGTAGAAAAGGGAAAGAAATAAAAAATCAGAAGAAAGCTGTGGAAGAAACTCAGTGGTGTGGATCTTGGTTGCTACTGCATTTCCCATGTGAAGAAGCTTCCTAAAAAGGGGAATATTCAGCTCCTACCAGGAGCGCATCGGCATAAAAAATTAGTCACAAGCACAAGCGTTTGCAGATGGGAATTTTACTGTGCGTAGCAATGTAACCAACATTCTGGTCACTGTTAACAAACAAAATTGTTGTGTGTGATCTACACAATATCTGGGAGGAATTGCAACACTTTATAAACACTATTCAAAATGACTGGGATAGAAGGTTTGGAGTGTTGACCCGAAGGTATTGATCCCTAGACTGGATTTGGGGATCTGAGGGGTTTTTTTGACAACTTCTGTTCTCATGCAAAATGGAGCCCTTCAAAAGCAGCAACTACACAAGCAGATTCCATTAAAATTTCAAATTATGAACATTGCCAACAAATAAAAGAATGCCACAATATGTATATCTAGATATACTTTTATGATCCAAGGACAAATAAGCAGTCTAACAAACTTGAATCTCTGCATCTTAAAATCTTACAAACTGAAAACAAGTGGCCAGGCTCTCGGAAGATCTTACCCAAATTTGGAGACTAAGTTCTAAGAGATCCTGGCTCTTCATTACATCTGCAGATAGGAACCTCAGCAAATGGGATGCCAGAGGAACATCTCTCAGAGCATCAAGCCCTTTTTAATCCTCTTCCTCAAGCAAAGGCTTTCATTACCAGGGATCCAGGTTTTCCATTTCCCGTGGAAAAAACAGAGTAAGCAGCAGATTTTACCTCTTGCCAGAGGCAAACGCAGATTTCTCGTTTTACTAGAGAAGCCCATAGATTTTCCAGTTTTGCAATGAGCTCCCTGCAGGCTGGCAGAGTCCAAGCCTGCAGGAAACTGGGAGGGAGTGGGAGGAGGGTAGAGAGAGAGAGGGGGCACCATGTGCATCTACATCAGGGGGTGGGCAAAATGCAGCCTGCAGGCCAGATGCTGCCCACCAGGCCATTCCATCCAGCCCACAGGGCCCCTTAAACATTTAGAAAATTAATATTTATCTGTCCCTGGCTGCCTGTCATGGGGCCCTCAATAGCTTGCCAAAATTCAGTAAGCGGCCCTCCGCTAGAAATAATTCCCTGCCCCTGACCTACATGCACATGGGCCCAGGCAGCCAGAGAGCAGCTCACACAGGTAAGTGGCGCAGGGGAAATGGGAGGGGAATTGAAGCCCCCTGCAGGGAGGGAGGGAGCTAGGCAGAGCTGTAGCTAGGGCTGCTGCCCAGCCCGGGGGGGGGAACTGGCTCCCCGCCACGACACGCACTCCGAAGAGGGGGCGGGGGGGGGACCAGCACCCCCCAGATCGGTGGGCGGGGCAGGCACGGGCTGCAGGCATGGGCTCCTGCCCTACTTCCCTCCCCCAGGGCCTACGCAGCCCAGTGGGTACGAGCCAGCGCAGCAGGGCACAGCAGAGCCATGTGGAGAAGCTGCTCGCCACCGAGAGCACCGCACTGCCCTAGCAACACGCCTCCTGCGCGCGGGCCTGCTTTGAGGGGTACAGCCCCGTGCTGCTGCCCTCACTGTAGCCCTGCACACGGGAGGATGGGGCTCCCCAGCTGGTGCTGAAGGGTGGGGTGGGTGAATTGGAGCCCTCCCCCCATGTTGGGGCTCACCCACCCCACCCTCCAAGGGGGGCTGAAAACCCCCCAGACTGAACTCTGTCCACTCCCTTTCCCCCCTCCCATTCTAAAAACAGGGACAGGCTGGGAGCTTGGCAGACCCACGTTACAGAAAAAGGTGACATTTTGAAGCCTCTTTATCTGATACCTCGTGCAATGAGGTCAGATTTTCACCAGATCAGTTTTGAAGCTGTTTGCAGCCATGTGCTTGTGTTTGGTCACAGCTAGAGGCTGCTTTCTGTGGCCAGATCAGGAGAAAACTGTCACTTCCGTCTGCGCCACGTGCGCGCCAATTACACTGCACTTGGGCTCGTCTCAGGGCATCGCGCAACCCACTGGTGAACTGCGCGATAAATGCGGTGCGGACCAGGGGTCTCAGCAGGTTGCGCCAAGACGCATCACCGCTGGTTCCAGAGAGGCCAAGCCAGGAGGCGCCCAGGACGGACCCCACCCCCAGCCGAGTCACCTGTAGAGGCGCCCGTCGTCCCGGAAGTCTTCCTGGCCCCAGCGGCCTTTGACGTCCTCGATGACGTGGTTCTTGAGGAATTTCTTCAGCAGCTGCACCGTCTGCCCGCGCGTCACTTCCGGCCCGAAGTTCTGGTTGCCGCGGAGCAGCTCGTGCAGCCACGCGACAGCCTCGGAGGCGCGGAAGCAGCGCTCGTGGGTGCGGAGGCGGCTGCGGCGCCTCCCCCGCGGCATGCCCGCGCGGAACAGCTCGATCGTCTCGTTCCACTGCGGGGGGCAGAGGGGCGTGAGAGGCGCAGCCGCGGGGCACAGCCCGGCCGCCCGCGGGGAGG